CGGTACTCCTTCTACGCCTGCACGCTGCTCGGCTTCGAGCCCCGCCCGCTCGTCTTCCTCCGCTACACGCTCTTCTACGTCCTCTACCCCTCCGGCGCGTCCTCCGAGGCGTTCCTCATCCTCGCCACCCTCCCCCCGCCCGCGTTCGGCTGGGCGCGCGGCGCGGGCCTCGTCGGCGGCCTGTACACGCGCGTGCGCGAGCTCCTCTTCGCGATTTGGTGGCCTGGTGAGTGGGGGTGTTCCTGGTGGGGTGCTTGCTCGTGCTGACCGACGTTGGAAGGTTTGTATGTGATGTATACGCACATGATGAAGCAGAGGCGCAAAGTATTCGGTGGGAGCCGTCGTAGCCCCAAGTCGAAATCGTCATGACCGTCCCGGGCGTTGTCAACGAACGCCGGAGCGCGCCGAGATGGGATGAAACGATACTTAGGTACGGTTCCGCTTCCCTTGCATGTGCACGAGCGCGAGTAACGAAAGTGTAGAATATGTGCTCGTATTACAAAAGTGATTATCCCTGCTACGTCGTCGCAACACGCGGGTCTGCCCGTGGCCCGCGTGTTCATGCGTAATTGTTGATGCTCGGCGCGAAGCCCACTTGCCCTGAGTAGTCAAACACGGTGTACCCTAGCGAGGACGGCGGGCTCAGCAAGTATGGAGCGGAGGCATAGGCGAGAGGCTCTCACAGGATTTGAGAAACTCGGCTCCGATGATCGCCAGGTGTTCTGCGATGCCGTTGTCCCCTAGCGCAACGACGCCACCAATGCATACGCTGCACGACGTGACACTGAGCGGAAGCATTCGGCAGGAACGCAAGAGCACGCACCTCGGCTCATAGCTGCTCACTCCCAAACTGAAATCGGCCGGATGGATAGCGTAAGACAGCCCCCCGAAGATCAAGGAGACGGATACATCCGCATCACAGGGATACGAGTAATACCCTACCCCAGGTATGAGGACCGGAAATGCGAGCGGTATTTGGAAGCGCTCACCTTCCCCGAAGTCAGTAGCCGAGGACGATCCTGGTATCTATATTCGGGATCAGGGGAGTACGAGGGACGCCAGACGAACGGCTCCGGAGTCCGAATAGACGGACCTCCGCGTAGAACGTGTCCGCGACACTCTTCGGCAGGTATATCAACGATGTTCCCGTGTCGATCGCCTGCGGCGCAAGGGTCAGGCTATGCTAGACAGCTTGTGGGTACACACCGCTTGCGTACCGCCGTCAAGTTCGCAGGTACAGTCTGGTTGTTCACGGAGAGCCCGTCCATCCCGATTGCCCAGTACGTCTGCCACGAGTGAGTTCTAATGCGCACTGGACGGAAGGCGTACCTGCACTCACTCGGGATACAAGGGGGTGGAATTGAGGCAGGACGGCGCCGCGAACCTTCCTAGGGTCGTAGCACCCAAAGCAGACCTGCGAGTCATCCGAGTCAGGTAGACGTCACTCGTCTCCAAGGCGGCGACGTCACCTGAGACCCGTACTCCTGCCGTCTTGTCATATGCACGGAGAAGATGCCATAGGTCAGTTGGCGCTGTGCCAGCAGATTCTCGAAGAACGTCGGCTTGCCGGTCTTGGATATGGTCCCGAAGGCGAGTCCCAACAAACCGCTGATCGGTTCTCGGTCGAACTCGTCAGAGACTTTGTGCGCGGCACAGAAGGATTGACCCTTGACCACCAGTCCGCCTCCGACAGCAACTGTGTCTTGCGCAAGTATCCCAGAGACGTGACCCATACCCTACTCACATTCAAGACAGATGACGTCAATGCACGTGCTGTCGCAGTCAACGGCAAGCCCGAGAAGGTGACGCACGTATGAAAGGGAACAACGATCCCGAAGACCCGTGAATGTTGAGGACTCGTCGGGTTGGAGCTGCGAGCTGTAACAGTGCGGGCAGTTGGCGGCCAGCCAGAGGTCGGCAGAACCGGTGTCGATGTCGACGTCCAAGCTCTGCGCCGGATTGCCAACCTGGATCGATCCGTAGTAGAGAACGTCGAGGATGTCGTCGAAGTAGTCCTTGAGTGGAAAATGTGACTGTCCGACTCGGAGCGGCGTGGTTGGTTCCAATGCAGTGAGGTTGCGGTTGAACGCGGGGTAGCCGGCCTCGGGATGTTTGTCGGGGTTGATTCCGACGCCTGCAAGATACTGTTTGGAACGCGCGTACTTGAGCAGGACGCTCTTGATCTCCTGACGCTGTGGAGAAAAGTTGGTAGTTGGACATTCATGCGATGTGGATAGACTGAGCGTATGCTCACAGCATAGGACGAGTCGAGTGTTGCATTGTTGACGATCTGTGCCCCACTCTGACTTTTGGGTCCGTGATCAAGCGGTGATGAATGAGCGAGCAGAGTGAACGACAGTAACGAGAGGGAGGTGAAGGAAAAGTAATGAGCGGGCATGTCGGAAAAGACGAGAGCAAAACGAAAGCGAAGTATGCGCCAGGCACAGCGAGAGCGAAGGACAGAACGAAAGGAAGGCACGACTCCGGGAGAGACAGGCTCCGTGGATTATAACCGCGGGGCTGGCCGGCTGACGGACAGACGACTCCCGCCCGAGGCCCCCAGTTGACACCTTCTTGAACACTTGCCATATCCGGCAGCTCCCATGCTAAAATCGCGTACGATCGTGATCGAGATTCGGGCCGAACCCTAGCCCCAGATCTGGCCTCTGTTTCGCGTTCCTCGCTCCTCGTCACACATTTCACCCTTCACTCGGGCCCACTTGGGGCTCATGCGCTCATGGTCCGCACAAGTTGGCTATGACGCAGACTACGTACTTGCAAGGGACAACCATCGACGTGTCCCCGCGATCCCCTCCGCTATTCCCGGGCGAGGCGACAAATTGACCTGTCGCTCGCTCAGTACTAGTTGGCTTCCTTTCGACAATTCATCCGCATGATCGCTATAGGTGACTGAATCAACCACGACCGCCATCAGCCACCATCGCATGCAGTGTATGCAAAATTGCGAAGAGGAACTCGCGCACACGCGTGTACAGGTCGCCGACGATGTCCGCGCCGCGCACCCAGCCGAACGCGGGCTGCGGGAGGGTGGCAAAGATAACCTGGAAGGACGCGCCGGAGAGGTAGAAGACGTAGAAGAGCGTACAGACAAACTGTAAGTCCCTACAACGACGTTTACGCGTTTGATCTTGTTCCCGTCACAGGTCCTCTCCGAGTCAGTTTCTGCGGTTGAAGTTGCGACTTCTCCCTCCAGGCTGACATCTACGTCGATCATGAATTCATCTCCAGCTTCAGCAGCAGGCCCCAGAGCCTCGACTCCACTTACGGAACCAGGCTTAATTCCGTCCATCTCGAAACCGAGAACGCCATCTTACACACGGTACGTTTCACAAGCCCAAGCATCATGCATCTTATCGGCTTCATGGCAGTCTCCGACCATACGGTGTCGGGTGCGACTCGGTCGGCTGACCTTGCGGATCCCCTTGCAGTTTCGGACAGCAAGTCTACCATACGTGCCGACTTCGAGCATGTCGCCAATTGCGCGCGGTAGAAACAGCGTGCGTACCCCCTCGACCCCGGTGCGGGACCATCAAATCTCATAGACTCCATGCAACCATGTCCACCGTGCGGCCGCGGCATCTTGCCCGCCTTCCGAACGGTCAGCATGCGGAACAGCTGGCCCAAACGACTCGGGGGCGAGATTAGTATCATACATCGAAGGTCGGTCTCTTTTCTCGTCACAGTCCTGTCGATCTTCACGCACGCACTAGCGCGAGTGGGATCGATCTCGGATGCCCGGCAACTCACGCTCATTCTACCCTAGGCCTTCACCAGGTGGCAGGCCCGGGAGTCTACCGAAGCAGGGTCTGGCGTTGCATATGCACCGGACCGGGTCCGCAGCGAACGACGACTGTCTAGCTTCGTCCCTAGGTAGACAGTCCGTCTATCTCGGAAACTTGATAGCCAGATTGACAAGTTCACGGGTGCAGTCCGTTTCAGTCGACTTCTGCCAACCGGCTGGAACTACGGTGTCGACATGAACCGGCCGGGCCCGCGTCTGATTCTGGTCCTGCCACAACTCGCTGCTCCCGCGAGACGAAGGTGAAGGCTCTACCAGTGCCGGTAGACGAGCTGAGAAGAGTCTACCTGACGGCCGAGAGGGCCTGCCTGACCCAGAGGTCCATTTTTGGTTCGCGGAGGAGTGCGACTACGACACGTCCTTCGACGAGCACTGGAGGCTGTTCATGTCAGGTTCGTCTCGACGTTTCTGCGCGAGTGTACGTCCGGCTCTGCCGCTGCATTCCGAAGAATGGTGGGCGTTTTGCGCTTCCACCCGAGTTCGTGCGTGACGATTGACCTATGGTTGACGTGCAGACGATTTTCACGGACGCGAAAGGCGGAGCCAAAGGTGCCGAGTGAGTAGACCTCCTTCCCTGCTAAGACGTGCTGCTAATGTCCTATTGAAACTTGTGACTGACAATCTTACAACGTCACGGCGGAGGCTTACAAGGAGATGGACTCGCCCGGCGTTCAATTACTAGTAAGCCCCTGGGCCTCCTGCTTGCTGTCCGAGTCTGACACTCGCTCGGAGTCACTGTGACCACTGGCCCGTCAATGATCATGATCATGTGCATGAACTGCAGCCGATTAATTGTCCAAACGACATCATCAATGCCCCCAACCTCTGAGACACGACCAGACAGGAAGAGGCGTAGAGTCTTCGCAGCGGGCAAGTATAGACATACGGAAGAATGTCGTGTGAGGCATTCGGACGTGAGCATATTCAACTCTGTTGCCACCGATAGGCTACAGCATCGTGTACATCCCGCTGCTGGACCTGTGTCTGCGCTGCTGAACGCTGATATGTGGCAAGGCGTCGATTCTTGCAGCCAAGTTGCTCGATCAGACCTGGCGAATTGCTCGTTTCCTAGTCTGCCCAGAGGACTACTAGACAGTATGGCTGTAGGTTGCATGACAGCATGCAGGTGAGAGGAAGTAAAACTATCACGGAAGGTGTCACTCAGCAAAACGATAACACTAGCCCACCGCGAGGGTCGAACTCGCAGCCTTCAGATGCCCGTATGCCTTGACATTAAGAGTCTGACGCTCTATCCGATTGAGCTAGGCGGGCAACGCTGACTAAAGCTTGGTTACAATCACGTCCAACAGTTCATTTCGGCTAATATACCACTTGTGCCACTCGGGATCGATGCCCTTGAGTCCGTGTTGCTTTCCATCGGCCACCTTGCACGAGAGGCTCCCTCCGATAGTTTACAATCCTCCCAAGTGCTCAGGTACCGTGCTTTGAGCAAGTGCATGAATTATAGTGCCAACAAAACTGATGCTTCCAGTTGTTCAGTGCGCGGTGTGGTTAGTTTCAGACGGACACAGCATGTTGCCTACCGCCGACACAGAAGGGGGACAAGTCCTCACGCATCTGACTCCACAAGCATCGGTACCGTATGTAAAAGTATTTCGTACCCAATTACAATATTGAGCTGAAAGGTGTCTCTTCTATGCAGGTCCAATGTGAACTCGGACACCGACAAAGGCTTCCAAGGTGACTTGACTAGGTGGCGCACTACAGGTCAGTATCCGCAGCGACATGTATGCAATCATTCTCACATATATACAGTGTGCTGGAATCATGACTCCTCCAACAATCATCCCCCTTTGACCCAGAATGATCGTCCACTTCATCTTGAAGGTGCAGATGATGGCGCCTCAACATCGTCCGCCTGTGCGCCACTTGAGACCGGTGAACTTATCTCACCTACGCCCACACTTCCGACTTTGCCAGGCATCTGGTCGTTCCCAGTGTCCCCGCCATCTCCCTCGCTGGCAGAGGGACGTCATGTGTATCGCGAGGGGCCGTCAACTTCACAAGCGACATGTCAGTGTGAAGAATGTGTGTCTCGTGCAGCTGGAAGCTCGGGCGAGCGGCGTACCACACATCTTGTCCTCGAAAGGCCGATGGAGGACACCCGCACCCCCTCCAACCGAGTGGAGGAGAGATCTGGTCTCACGTTTGTCCCCTCTTCATCCGAGTCGTTCTCTGTACCACGTTTGCCTTCCACCTCCTCTCCAACCGACGTTGCGTCCCGCTTTCGCCCGATCTCACCTCGCATGCCATCTCCGACCCAACCTGCCCAGTCTCCACGTCCACCTCCCGCTGACCCTGCATCCGGGAACCCCACACAGCTGTACCCGGCGTATCTCTTCTTTCTGGGGGAAGACAAGAGATACATCCCTTACAAGATCCTTACCTACAACGTGCGCGCGCCAGCCGCGACGGCCAACCACGGCAACACGCGGATCCTGGCCACGCACCTCACCCCGGAGCAGTTCAGCGCAGAGCAGGAATGGGAAGAATATCGCTGCCGTCGCCTGACCCCCATCGGCTATGGGATCAGGTGCGTGTGGTACCGCACGTGCGGCCCGTTCTCGATCCCGCACCCTCCTGCTGTGGCCGGTGCGGAAGTTGACGACATCTTCATGCACCACGACCAAACGCTGCAGTACAGTATGTGGGTCGTGAACCGCGAGCGCAGATGGGTGCCTGCGCGCAGTGGCAGTCGCCAGCCTTCGAACCCAGAATGGAGGCTTTGGATGCGCGAGACGGGGGAACCTGCTTGGATCACGAAGAAGACGTATTCCATTTACCGGAGCCAGCAGCACGCGGATACTAGACGCAAGCTGCGGGAGCTCGACGGAGTTCACCGTTAGACAGCGCAGTTGTTCGCGAGTCCCGCAGTCACAGGCCTAGGACACAATGTATCTGTATCGACAGCAATGGAACGCCTGTGATCCAAGATGAGCCAGATATCCCATATGAAGCGTACGAACATGCAGGAGGGACGGTCAACGCTCGCTAACTCTTCTTCTTCTTCTTGCTCTTCTTTTCCGACGCTGCGTTCTCAGCGGCGCCGCTCTCCCCCTTGCCCTCCTTCTCCTTTAGTTTCCGCTTCTTCCCCTTTTGCGAGGCGGCCTCTTGCGCCTCCCTCGCGCGTCGCTCCGACTCGTCCGCAAGCTTCCCCAGCCTCTGGAACGGATCGAGTTCTTCATCTTCGCTATCCTCTTCAGCTTCGGCTTCGGCCATCATGGCGTCCACTTCGCGCTCGGACGGATGCGCAGAAGGAGGCTGGGAGGCCGTCTTGGTCCGTTGGGAACTTGACGTCGCGGTCGTGACTGGAGCTTTCGGCACATGTTCCGGCGAGAACGGGTCGGGCTGTATGGACCCCACTAATGAGAGCATCTGGTTCGCGATCGTCAATCTGTGATCGGGCCATGTTCAGCTGAGAATGTAAGGACGTGTAGGGACGTGACACACCCAACGACAGTGAATTCGAGGAAACCATCCGCGTCGCCCAGCTTTGTGCCGGTCAACTTGTGCACCCATCGCCCGCCGCCGTCGATCTGACCTTCTGCGCCTTCTTGCTCGCCATCTCCCGTCCCATCAGCGGCGTCCTCGTGTCCTGCTCCAAACTCGGGGTCGTTCTCCGCTGGGCCGTACTCGAACTCGTACGAATCGGTCGTGATGTGATGTCGCGGGATTGATACGTTGAATGTTCGATGTACGAGCAGCGATATGTGGTCCGGGGAAGAGAGGTTGATCTTGCCAGCTGCATTGGATGAGTGCATGAGCGCACCGACTCTGATGTGCGAGTTGGTACCGAGGGGACTGACCTAGTTTCATGCCCACTTGCGGGCTCCATACCGTCGCGTCAAAGGCGACACGGCAGTTCGCGAAGGGACAGTCCGCCTTGATGGTCGCGACCTTGTCCAGGAACTCGAGCCGGTCATGGGCGAGCACCACGCCTTGCAGTGCGGGGATGTACCTGCATGACAAGAGGAGGACGGCGGAGAGAGCTGCCATTAATCACTCACTCCACCGCACGGGAGTGCAGACGTGCACGGCGCACGCACCTCATGAGCATAGAGTCTAGCATCTCCTCCACGCCCCCGCGCAGGTCCGTCGCAAAGTACGGCGGGACGGACACGCTGAGCGACGCGCGCACGACGCGGAACGCGTCGTCCGTCGCGCGGCCCTTGCCCTTGTCCTGCACCACCTTCGCCTTTGAGTGCTTCTTCGTGTCCCTCTCCTTGTCCTTCTTGGACCGCTTGCTGGAGGGCTCGGAGGGCGCTGCGTCTCCGCCATCCTCCGCGATGGCCGCTGCGTGCTTCCGCTTCTTCGTCTTGTGCGACTCGGGCTGTGGCATCTTGGGGAGCTGCAGGGCTGCAAGTGTAACGGAGGACTGCTAGTGTACCAAGAGAGCCGTCCCCGAGTAAATGCGACGGAGGGAGGTAGTTGAGCTATCAGACTGCAGTCTGCAGCCACCAGAGAGAACGATGTCGAGCGTAGAAATTTTGACAAGCGCCCGTTAGTGTGTACTGAGCGTGGGCGCTTGCGGACACCCATTCCGTGCCGGAGCACGTCGGCACGTCTCTCACAGTTCTCTGGTACTGTCACCATCGTCGTCGCGGCTGTGTGTATTAGTGGGCATGGTACGTGTCATACTTGCATTATGCTATGATGCGCACTAATGTCGAGGCTCCCGTAACAGTCCGTCATCGTACAGATTGCGATTGCTAGCGCGAAAATATTTGGGAAGGCCCTGTATGCTGCAGGGAAGCAGGCTGCAGCCAGTACGTGTCGCTCTACCGGAACGTCTCCCGCGAGACCGGGCACTCGTGCTTGTGAGCTGACGTGACTTTGTGGGTTTCGCGTAGATGCAAGATACCGGCCGCCTGGAGGTCTGGGCAGTGACGTCGCGGGTGTCGGGAACGCGACCTCGGGCTCACTAACGGACAAGCTGACGAGGGAGCATCGAATGACGGCGGACGAGGCGCGGCTGATCTTGAATGTGAAGAAGGAGGATTCGGTAGAGCGGATACTGCAGGTGCGTCATTACCACCAGGCATGCATGCACGCTCTTCTGACCATGCGCTCGCACCTCGCGCTACGCGAACATCGTCCTCTCGACACCTCCAGAACTACGAGCATCTGTTCAAGCAAAACTCACCACCCCCTCCGCCCGCGAAACCTGTGTCTGCCAAACAGCCGCAGCCTGCACACTCGCACTACCTCCAGTCAAAAGTTGTGCGCGCAAAGGAGCGGTTGGAGGCGGAACTCAAAGCCGAGCTCGCAGAAAAGGAGGCTCCTCCTCCGCCACCTCCAGATGCCCCGTCGCCGCCACCTCCATCCTCATAGCCATGGTTCCACCTCCATCCATCCGCTCTCGCATATCCCCATACCACATACACTCGGCTGTCGCACACACGCCCCGCTCTGCTATCGCATACACTTACCTTGCATCTATTTTAGACTAATGCACTGTATCATCTGCACACTATTAGGAACACACACACCCCGTTCACTCTCCACTCGCATGGCTTGCATTTGTTTTGCCGCTCTCACGATCGCGCATCTGCTATATGCAACGGCGACGTAATGGCGCAGGTGTGTTACTTCAACTTGTAAGCACCCGCCTTTGTCAGACATACTGAGCTCTGACTGCGGCAGGATGAGCTAAATTTGTTCAGATCATGAGCCTGCGGTTACACAGAATCTGAACACGGAATGGCTGCAGTGCAAGCTCCCAAAGCCCACATCTCGGTTGACCGGATATCCGAGCTCACCTGCACGGTAGTCATGAATGTTCTGAGGCTTGCTGCACGAACATATGTCGATGACAAATCCCTGCATTCCAGTCACGGGCAAACATAGTGCAAAAGAAGTGGAGTCCGCACTTGAGCTAGTTCTGATTGACTGTGTCATCAGACTGGCGAAGAAGGTAGAATACGAGAGAACGCGTTATCTAAAGTTCCGATGGGTGAGAGGAGGTCGAAGAAGCTGAAGAGCAATCACTCGTGATTGGCTGGCTGAAAGAGCGCACGAGCAGCGACGGCAGGGGCGATAGCGGAGGCAGTTTGGCATGAGGATCACGGCTGGAGACGGGTCTTACCTCACTCGAACGCCCCAAGGCTCAAGCACGGCTTGCTTGAAAGCTTGACGACGACGTGCTCGCAGTACACACAGCGCAGGCCTACGTAGGAGCGTCGCAGTCCCGAACCTCCGTCCCCGGCGGACACTTGGTGCATATGCCGGCCCGGTCCAGCGAATGCATGTAT